TCTTTCTTTCTTTCTTTCTTTCTTTCTTTCTTTCTTTCTTTCTTTCTTTCTTTCTTTCTTTCTTTCTTTCTTTCTTTCTTTCTTTCTTTCTTTCTTTCTCCCTCATCAACTTAAATCTGTTTAGTCACATCAGTAAACCCCATTCCCACAAACCACAGTTACACAGAGAAGAAACAAGCCTTTGGCGGACACACAACACAGAGTACAGGACTGTCAGGACATTGTTAGGAGGGACAACAATAACTGCTGAGAACAAACTGCAAAACGACAAAAGAAACAAAACAAAACAAAACAAGAAACTAGAGGGAGCCAGTAGAGAATAACCAATTTTTAGCAGTTTCCAGACCTTCTGTAACACTCCCCCACCTTTAACCCTTACACCTGGCTTGATTATTTGAAATGGCACCGCTTTGCTTCCAGGTTCACAGTTGAGGTAAATCTGGAATACTCTGCAGTGGGGAGTTAGAGAACCGAGTGGCGTGATAAGGCTTTTGACAATAACACATCCCTCATCTGAAGATCACATCTGCCTCTGTCTCGAACAAATTATGTACTTACAAATACAGCTGTGCTAACAGGCTTTGCAACAGCAGCTAAGCTGCACAGCTTTGTTAAATGTCACCTCACTCTGCTTTTTCAAATCTCACATCATCACACTCAGCATTAGCTTTGGCACAGAACAGTCAGGGATGGAGAAAAGGGGGTTAGGTAGATTAAATCTATTTTATCTCTTTGGTTGTTACTGCATATGAGGCACAGGTAATGGTTCCTAAGAGATTTTATCTGTTCATATCTATTTACCTTTGTTGTAGAATCTTAGATTTAGCCGCTCAGTTTTGGCAAAGTCCAAAGTGCCATGTGGATGGATTCGAGCTACATCATGGATGGTGATGGCTCAGCCTCCTACACTATTTTTATTAATAGACATGGACTGAGGCAAGACTTGGCTCACAGTCCCTGCTGAAACATAACATTGTGGTAAACACGTACTTTTCTGAGTTTGCTCTCTTTGTCTCTGTTAATTTCCCTTTAGCTTTTTTGATAATGACTTTTTTCTTCTTTTAATAAACACCGTTTTTTCTAACTTACTCTTTTCCACATTACTTCTCTTAACGGTACTTTCGTACTGTCTCAGAGCAAATACAATTCAAATCTCTAATCAAGTTTGCCGTGGCTGAACTTAGTTGATCTGATTAGATTCTATGAGTATTGTGAACCCTGTGGTGAAAATTCACTTTATCTAATTCATTGCCTGAGTGACTTTCAAGTTGAGCCATTGCCCAGTCATTGGCATATAGGCTGCCAGAATAAGAAGGCATTAAGAGTGCAAAATTTTGGAGTCAGCGTATTCTGATAGATAGCAAGCATGCTAAAAGGATTTGGAAATTCATTGAGCAGCAGAGTCGCAAAATTCCAACAAAAAAAATAGCTGTTTATTTGATTCTAACATCCTTCTATGTGTGCAATCAGAAGTCAACATCCCAGCAGGCTATCATAGCACTATCTGATATGGCTGACCTACATGTGAGTGATTTCCCTGCGGGAGAAGAAGCTCAGCAAACGTTAATGTTTGAGCAACCCGAGCAGGATAAAGGCTAATTTAGCACAGCGCTCTGCAGGAGGGGTGGCACTGCAGAGAAAGTGCTGCAGAACAAAGGGGGGGGGGAAACAAGGTGACAATGGCCTGGATAACCACACGATGCCATGTAAAGATAAGGGTGCCAAGCAGTGAATGCCCAGGGGGATGATGTACCAATTTCCCATTGCAAGCCTGACAATTTCCCCGAAAATCCCTGACTGCGCATGTGTCGTAACCCACTTTTCTGTCTCCACCGTGGATCCATCCTGTTTTTCTCTTTGGCTTTGAACATTTCATGCTGTCAATTTCTTGCGATTTTCACTGCACTGCATTGAGCACCTGACATTTGTGTCTTCTTCTATCTGAAAAGCCTTCTTTCCCCAATACTAACCAATAAAGAAACCTATCATTTATCATACGTTTTAAACTGTAGTTTTGGATTAGGTTGGATTTAGATCATTTTAAGGTGCAAAGGGAAGTTTTTGACTGCTGGATACCTTCTTACTAAACTATAAGCATTGCTCAGTGAGACTAACACATAAAAATGTTTCTTCGTAATCATCATTACAACCATCAACATCATTTTCATTGTTAACATCAATATAATTTTTGCATCATTATGTGTTGCACTGCTGTTATGAGTTGTATCATCATGCATGCATGAGCATTCCAAGGGTCATGCTCGCAAGTCATTCCATGTTATTGGCACTCTGTGGTTCAAAAATGCTGTTGGGGAGGGGGGGTAAACAAAGATGTCTCATTGTCTGCAAAAAAGGTGAGGATCTACTGGATGTTAGAGCGGTGTGGTGGTGGTAAATCATGCAGATGAGGAGAAGTGTCAAACAGTCCTGGACCAGGCTGGCCAAAGTCATTTTGAGACCAAGATTACAAAATTTCCAGCAAGGGTCAACCCATTAAGATGTACTGACCCTTGCTCTTTGGGTTGAATCTCCTGTAAATTTAAAGTTTAAAAAGACCAACAGCTGCAGTGATATCATTGTGGAAATCCCTCTTTCTTCAGCACTGTGTCAATACTGGTTAAAAGAACGGGGAACAAAAGGAATCGATTTGAATGCTACAAGTGGGACTTCCACAATGGGCACACCTGTGTTAAAATCCTCGCATTATGAAGCTGTTTGGAGAATTGGAAGCTTAGAAAATATGGCACTTGGAGAAGGGCACTTAGACAGGCGTTAACAGAGGCACTTATTGATGAACCATGGCCTTGGCTGAGTGGAGGAGAGCTTAAAAATAGCCTTTTTTTTAAAGCTTGGCTTAATGGGGTTTTAAAATTAACCACTTTTTTTTGTATATGTTTGATGGTTAATTACACAGCTTGTATTCTGAGTTAATTGTTGAGACTTACAAAGCCCATCGGATAGAGATTATTGTCACTGATGGACACGGAGTTGCATAACAGTTGGGGAGCTACAAACGCTGGAGGCCAATCCAGTGGATAAGCGATTGTAAGAACCCAAGGTTGAAGCATGTGCCCGCAGTCATCTCCAGTGTGTGTACGAATATCGATCCAATCTGAGTGAGCTTTTAAAGTCGAACTGAAATAAAAAAAAAATCCCTATTCCTTTTGAAGAAAAAAAAAAGTTGATATTCTTTCTATATGCAAAATTAGTTTTTAGTGGTGCTTATACTTTTAGAAAATAGTTAAGTTCATGTGTGGATTTTTATGTATATTGAGCAGGGGTAGATTTAAAGCCCTGGCCCCTATTAACTGAGTCTACGCAAAAATAATAATGTGTACTGGTTGAATCTTTTTCTGATATAGATAAGAAGTTAATTACCTTTCCTGAAAACTTTATTACTTGATATTCTCCTCCTTATGCTTATGGCGTGATTTAGTTTCATGAATGGAGAAACAATAAGGAACCTGGTGGGTTTTCAAACAAATACTGGCAAGTGGAGCTACTTAGCATAGCTTACGTCCTGATTTCAAATGAAGCTTTTAACATTTGATAAAAACTCAAAATAACCCAACCAGTCCCTGTGGACATCAGTGAAAGCACTGAAGATCTAGAGGTCTGAGTTTATTATGTAGGCTTAGAGAAAATGGGAAATAGAGAAAAACATCAAAGAGCCATCACTTCTCTCAACAGTCAGCAAGCTGATGTAAAAAAGGTACATGGCTGTAAAAATGTTTTACAGCATTGCACCTATTTATAGCCAGGTAAGTTTTTTTCTAAATTGCTTTAGTCTGTGAATAATATACCAAATGGAAAGAAATGTTAAAATAGTACAATGTATGGAAGATTCACCTCTAATCTATAGCTCATGACTAAAAAGGTATATTAGTGGTCTTACCACAGTCAAATGTCACATCTCTTTACAGATCCAATAAAGTTATTATCTACTTGAAATATTTTGAATTTCAGTTAGACTTTAAATGCACTGTCTTTGAGTGTGGGAAAGATTTTTGTGTTTTAAAAACGAATCCTCCTAATCCATTCACCGTGTATGCATATAAATGGGCCAGAGTCATTGTTTATTTGAAGCTGGAGCAGAGTGGACTATTGGCTGACGGCCATCATGATGTCACTTCTTCCTCGGGTGTGTTTGATTTCTTAGAGTTTTTAGTCTAATCTTTGAATGGCAGGCAGGCAGGCAGGCAAGCAGCACCTACTTGTTACATGGACAGGAGCAAAGACCACAGAATTTCCCTAGATCGTTCAAATTCTTTTCTGCATCCTTCATGTCCTTATTGATTTGGTCCATTCCCTCCTCGATGCGTTCCAGTTGCTCTGATTAAACACAAGTCATTTATCCCCCACAGAACGAAGCACGAGAGAGAGAAAGAGAGAAAGAAGAGGAGAGAAAGAGAGAGATAAAGAGAGGACAAAGGAGAGAAGACAACAACTTCAGACATTCACTATGACGAAAGAAAGTAAAAAAAAATAAAATAAAATAAAAGAGGAAAAACTGGACGCCACCACATATGTAAAGAACCTTTGGGGCACATTGTCAGTACCTACTTGTTACATGGACATATGAAAAGCCCACAGCATTTCCCTAAATCTTTTAAATTTTTCTCGGCTTCCTTCATGTCTTGGTTGATATGGTTCATGCCATCTTCAACACGATCGAGTTGCTCTGGTCAGGACAAAGGGATGACAGTAGTGGAATGAATTTCATTGACTGATTGACAGAAATATGAGTTATGATGATCAGCAACTGAGATGTGTCTGCACATGTGTATATGTAAATATGTCTGAGAGAGAGTCGACGTGTGAAGTGAAGCCTGGACAAACCTTCTGTGCAATATCATGTAGGTTACTGTATTTTGAACTAAAGAATGATTTGTTATCTAAACATCATACCACTGTCAAATATCTTAGTTTAGTATTGTATCTTAGTTTAGCCAAGCTAACACCTGTCCAATTAGAGCAGTATCTGCCCAGCACCAAAGCTAGTCTTAAAAGTATTTTCAAGTTTTTTTTAAAAATAAATATAAAATAAAGTTGTGTGGATTACTTATGGGCAGTCAGTGTTTTACCTGCAGGAGACTGCAGCCAGAGTATGATCGTTTTGAGGAGAGATTATAACAAGGGACCTAAGCAAGCAGGAGCTCACAAAAGAGTGACTTTTACCATAAAAAACAACTTAACTGCAATGATTTTGAAGCAGTTTGAGCATCTTTAAACTTAATGAATTTCACATTTGCTTGTGAGTAAAATTAGTGGTGTAGCATGAGCTCAAATTTGGATGTCATTATTATAACATTTTTTAATTGTTTAAGATGGTGAAAATATGATATTCAGTGTTCCCCCAAAAGTAGTTTTTAGTTTTGTTTACAGGCCAAAAGACACGTGGTATAGTTAAATGCATAGGTAAATCAAGCTACTGTTTAAGAGTAACCATTTACATTTAATTGGAAAACCCTACAGAAGGAGAGGAGAATCAATTAAATTATCAATGTATGTCTAAGTATGTGGAGTGTGGGAATTGTTCAGGGCTTTCTGAAGCCTCTAACTCTCTCCAACATGTAACTTCCGCCAAAAAACAAGAAAAAAAAAAGGTAAGTATTAAATTATTCATTTTGATTTTTGATGATTAAGTTCAGGAAATGTTTTGGTGCAGAGCAACCGTCTGGAAATATTTTAAATAGACGTGAGATGTGATATATTGTTTGAACCAGCTGATTGTCATCCACAGTTTCTTTTGGGTTCAGCTGTCTGATAAAATAAACACAAATATGGGAGCGAAAGCAACTTTATTGGGAATTCTGCTATGATATACAAATACACTTTAATAAACAGCTTTGAGAGGCTTGATTATGTAGGATTTTATCTCCACTTATATGATCATGTGTATCAAACGAAAGTTTTTGTTGGACTAACACTAATCATCATAATCTTTTCTTGGGCAATGTAAACTGTTACAGACTGCTACTTTTTATCACAACTATCATAAAACTTAAACAATCCTTTTTAGGTTTTGATTGAAGCAATACTGCCTAAAAAAAGTGTAACCTGTCATTTATATAATAACTTCACGTTTTTTTGCTTTTGAGGGCTAGCCTCCTTTTGATATCTTAGCAAACCTAAACCTTTCGCATTAACATTATATTTACAGATATGCCTTATGTAAAAACAGGTGGGCATTATTAATCTTCCCATTCAATTCTCGCTGAAAAAACAAAACAAGAAAAGCCAACAAAAAATAAAAAGAAGCAGATTTATGGGTTTACATAGGCAAATATATACACCTAAAATTGCTAAATGAACCCCATGTTTGTTTATTTTGATAGATGCTAGTGGTCAGACAAGAAGAAACTATTTTGTCATGCTGTGCTGCTTTAGTGATGTTTAATATCTTCAAATTTCACAAGAACAAAGCAAAGAAATTCTGATTTTAAGGTGTTGATGTCAGCATCTTTTATCTTCTTAAGGACTTTAAGGATTCTAAGGTGGAAATCTAAAGTCAAACTACTCTTCTTGTCATATGAAGAATTGCATCACATGCACATCATTGTTGTTTGTTAATTAGTAAAAATCACATCAATATATTATGGTCTGATGATGCCTGAACAGTCATAGAAATAAGCAGCTACATGGCCTTTAAAGGGTGGATCAAGACATAAACCTGATATACATACCATTTCTTTGTGTTTATGTGAATCTTCTGTTGAATCTCACATCTTATCTTAAACTTTGCTTTGAAAATATTTTGGGTATGACTGGATTCTGGTTTATGAGTGTGTGGTCCATTGTCATACTGGTGTAGTGGATGGTGTTTTAGGGATAAAGTCAGCATAAAGTCTTTCTACATTAATTGTGATTGAGGGGAATAGAGTGCAGGCAAAATGTGAGAGGATATGGCACGGTTAAATATGAGGTGGATTCAGAGATAAGTAAACTGACCTTTGCAGATTTGTTAAATCCCTGGTTGACATGCATTGTAATTAAGGAGAGGAATTGAACATGACATATAATTAAAGAATGATTGTTTGGGGAAAGTGGGAAAATGGAAAGTGGCTAAAAATTAATGTTTAAATCCAGTTTCTCTAGGGGTGAACGGCTACTGCTATTGCTGTCTCTACTATTAAGAACTTCTGGTTGCATCAAAGTCTATACTGGGAATTTGGAGTTCGACTCTGGGTCCCAGCTGCCTGCAACTGATTTTTAATTATTACCATTAACAGCTCAGGGGACACCAAAAATGATTGCATACATAGATGGTCACAGGAGGGATATAGCTTTTATACCTATGTGTGAACAGCTGTGTAGGAGCCATTCTCCTCCCACTGAATGTGTGAATTAGCTCACATACCTTCCAGCTAATGAGGGAACTGTGGAGCCTTGTTCTCCCAAGAGTAATGCAGGGCAACGTGTCCCTTTTCATAATTTGTTCCAATCATAATAACTGTCGAATGGCGCACAGTATCAATAATATAATTTGATGTTATTAACCAGGGATTTTACAAATCCATCGTGTGAGTGGCTGAAGATTTTGTCGTTACCAGTAAATCGATCGTTTTTTCCCACCATCTTTCATTTCCATTTCTTCCACTGTTGTCAGACATATCAAAACAATTGGCTGACCATAAGTAATTAGACAGAAAAAGGCTCAGAAATGGCTGAAAACAATTTTGCCATCTTGCATGAACAAATTAACAAGTGATGATTGATGAGAGCCTTAAAATCAAATACTTTTTTTCTTTTGGTAATTTTTATGAAGCATTCAAGACTACCAACTGCTAAAGCAACAAACATCTTATCTGATCTGCTTTGTTATCAGTGTCAAGCAGTGTTTGTTTTTTTTATTTTACTGCAGTGGCTTGCTGAAGATTTTCTCTATATAATCTGTTTTGTGTTTTGGCACTTTTGAGATTTCTTTTGCTGCGTTTCTGAGAAAAAAATAGAAAGAATTTAATTAAATCTATAAATACTGGTTGCAAAATTAAAGCAGTCAGGCAAATCCAACAGAAAAATGTTAGCCAAAGGAAACAAATGTCAAAGGAAGCTGAAATCAAGAAGACTGCTCCAAGTAAGTAATGGTGTACCTTTGACCATTTAAAAACACAAAACATGCATTAAATCAAAGGCCAAATCTGAAATTCATGAAAAAAAAATTGGGGATAAAAAAAAAGTTTGTAAGGCATTTAAATCAAAACAAGCATTTGCATATGACACAATTAATTCATTTACAAGTGTTTTAATGCAACACATTTGTACACCAATATTGGGCTTGATAAATAATGTTATAATTTATCTTGTGGTTTTGCTTCTAGTATTAACATAACATGCTATTAACATAACTTATAATGCCAATTTTCTTTAATCAATTAGGAATTACATACATATGCTGTGACTAATCACGCCATTTCTCCTCTTGTGGACTTACCTCCCTGCTCGTCCAGCATAACCAAAGTCCTGATGCCAGCATCTTTGCTCTAATCCCCAGACAGCCAGGAGGAGAAGAAATTGGTGGGGGTTGGGGAAGAAAATATGGAGGTCAGTAATGTGTCTCATAAGAAATGTGAACTCATCTGTTTCTCTTTTTATTGGTCAGATGGCTCCAGTTTGGTACATTCTGTCCAAAGTCATTCCCATAATTCTTAGCGTAAATGCTCAGCTCAATCATGATGGTTTGAACACGTCATTTTGAGTGGGGTAGTTTTGTTGAAATTCAATTCTTCAGAACTGTCCACTACAAAATGTTTCCATTCGGTACTACGTTCTGCATTTAAGTCCCTGTCGTAAAGGAGGATGATGTGGTAAATCATCATCATTGTGGTAAAACCTTGATTATGAGGATGATGTTGATGTGGTGATAATCAGAATCTGTTTGACTTGTACACGATTGAGAGTTCTGACTAATAGACACAGTTTTTCCTTCAACAGATTATCGGATATCTTTTTAGGAAATAACAGTTGCCTAACTGATTAATAGCAGTAGGCTGTTAAACTACTATAAATGTGACCAATCTGCCATATATATCTAAAATAAAAATTCTGAGTCACTAACAATCGTTAAAATTGTTGGCTAATTGTTTGCCCAAGAACTAAGAGGTCTGATATAAGTTTTGGTTGATCTATGCTCTTTAATGTTGTTTTAAAGTGTTTTGATTTCAGAATGATGAATAGTGCTGCCTACAATGGAGTTTGATTGGTATAGTGAGTTGAGCACCAAGGCTTGCAGTTTGACCCTGTTTCACAGCCTTGTCCTTCTCTACTCTAGCTTTATTTTCACTCCAGGACTCAACATCATGGATATAAGTTTTAATATTGGAAGGTCTGTGTCTCCTTAATCATGTCCAGTGCTGTCAGACACGCGCAAAGTGTCAAAACAGAGGTTGAATGTTCTGTTATCAAATTTTATGTTTAAATTATTCTTGTAAAATCTATTAAGGCACATTAAAAGATGTATTATCTCTAATTATCATGAATAACACAAATTAACTGTTCACAGAAAAACAAATGAGATATACAGAACCACACATTTATTCCATACAGTGCAATCCAATTGAATTGGCCAGTTACACCAGTATGCTAATTAAACATCAGCATACCATGTAATCCTGGAGGAACCAATTCGAATATTTTTCTTCAGCGCATTGGCTCATATTGATTAGCGAAAAGGTCACTTGGACATGACACCTTCAGAAGGACAGAAATAGCCCCCAGGAGATTAACAAGAACACTGACGGCACGGAAGCCTTCTGAATTCAATGCGAATACAGTAAATGTACTACTTTGTACAAATTACTTACATTTTAACATTTTTACAGTGCAGGCATGCCTCTGTATGACAATATTTATTGCAGATTCCATTATAGTATTATCTAAACTAATACTTCAGTCATCTATTGCTTTTTTTCAGGATGTCACCAGATTAATGTTTATATTATTTTATTTTACAGTTATAAGATGAAGCCATACATTAGTTGTTTCTGCTCTATTCTGTACATGGTGACAAAGGCTGGGGCCTGTCTCAGTTATTAACTATGTGAGGGGCATAGACTCCCCTTAATGAAAAATCAGTTTGAAATTTGACCCTTTGTGTTGAAGCATTCTCTTTTTAACACGTGTGGTTCAAGGTAAAATAATCCAAATACCATCTTAATTCGGATTATACTCTTGGACCTTAGATTGCTGCTTTTTTAAACAACTACTTCTGGTATTCATTGAGCACTTTGTAATTCATTTGAATTAATCACATTTGTATGCTGGAAGAAGGTAACATACAAATTTGGGATTTCTGAGGAGGGATAACATAGTGACACATTCTACACAACTGTTATTCCTCTCCACCTCTTAGAAATGCAACTCAAGTACACTGAGGTGTGGCAACTGGCTTCACCCAAAAGGTACAAAAAAGATTTGTGGGTAAGTCAAGTGCCGATATGCTCTTTCCTGCATAATAACAAGAATATACTGTATCACACATTTTACAGCACTCTGCTTTTCCAGCATAAAAATCTGTATCTGTAACTTTGTCCAGAAACAAATACCATTATAATTCAGTTCCATGGGGACACCAGTTTATTGTCTGCTATGATCCCACAAAGGACCTGGGAAGGTGGTGGTCCAGATAGGCTGTAAAGCTTTTCTTTATTTAAACTGAAAAACGTTTTACTTGACAGGGTGTAAGGTCCTTTATATTAACTGTAATTTGATCATTATTTGTTTTTTAAAAAAAAGATCCTTTTAATCTGTCTGTAAGTATCGCTACACAATAGTCACATCAAAATGTAATAAAAAACGAAAAATTAGTATGGACATGACATCTTTGTGAATTAAACTGAAAGTTGACTTTTTCCTAAATGATCTTTTGTGAATGATCTTGTTTCTTTTTTGATAGAGTACCCCTTGTGAATGTCAAGGATTTCTCTGTACAACCTTTGCATTAACTTGACTTTTTAATGAAGCAAGCTAATAGGCTAGCTACTTGGGCAACGGTGAAAAGTTCTATCACTGAAATGTTTTGTTTTAAATGTAAGTGCTAAATGTCAGACAACTGCAGGTGCATGTTTGAAAATAGTTTAGAAGATATTTAGTTTCATTAATAATGAGCAGTTTATGATTAAAATACATGACTCTAAAAAAAAGAATACTTCAATATGCATCATTTTCCTAAATCTCAGTGGATGATGTCTATCACTTTGAACACATTTTAATCTAATAATACAAACCCTGAAAAAATCACAGTATATCTGCCAGGAAGAGAATTACAGTTACACATTGGCATATAGCTGATGTGAGTCTTCCTCATTTCTGCCATTTTCTCACCTAATAATTTTTCCAATAGAGGCTGATGGTGTTTGTGAACCATGAGAATGTTTCAATAGGATTTGTATTCTGTCTGGATCTGCCTCCATTCTCTCTTTCTCCCGACACTGCATGGCTCTGACCATCCATCACCCTGAAGGAGCTGTAAACTTTCTCTTCTCGCTCCCCCCCCCCGTTTCCTTTTCCCTGCCTGCAGTATAGTTGCAGGGTGACTGTGCAGTGAGATGTGTTGACTGATGATCAATATGACCTTGAGAGACGCACTGAGTATTTGTCAGCCACCCCAATCTCGCAAATGCCTAAAGCACCACTTTCCCTTCTGTATACCACTTCACCAAGCCCTCTGCTGTCTTTTACTGCATCTGTAAGCTTGTAACTGTGTTCACTTCCAGGTCATCACATTTGTAACATACGAATACGGATAAATACAAATCTTCTGAATACTTTATTGTGTGAGCATGTGCATCTTCTCTTACACTGATTTCTGGTCATTTTCTTTTCTGTTCTATTCATTCCATCACTGAGTTGGCTCACTATTTACAGTTCTGTCTGACAGAATTAATGGATCTAAACACTTACATCAGTTCAATGCTGTTGAGCCTTAAGCTAAATATTGGATTTAGTTCAAATGAGCAGTTTCATTTATCAGTAAAACAATTAACAATCTATCGACTGACCACCTTGGCATCCAAAAAAAAAGAAAAAAAAAATCTTAAAGGGCCAGTGACATTGTATGAAACAAAGAGTTATTTATAAAATATGTACTGCTCCCATGTCGGCTTACCAGCACAAGGTTCTTTGTTGGAAAATAAGCATAATGTCCAAAATACCTCAACAATGCTCGATTTGTCATTTGCCGACTAAAATATATTGTAATTCATCATATTCTTATGAGCTCTATGAAGGTTCAGTCAACTCCATGCACTCCACTCTAAAACAAATCTATCTAATATTTTCCCCTGATTTGAAGTTAAAACTTTAGAAAGAGTGAGGGGCAGTTTTGGGGGTTTCGCTTACCTCTTCCACCAATTGCAGCATACGACGAGTGCTCTCCAACGACTGTGGGGGAAATAAAGAAATACCGTAAGTGTCTGTTTGAGAGTACAAAACAGACTTTTTTTCTGCGAAACCTCATATTATCACTCAAAACTCAATAAGCTGCACAGTGTTTGGGTTAAAAACGAAATAGCTTACAAGCTTGAGTGGATCTATCAACTCATAAGTGATTTATAAAAGAATGCTGCGGCTCTGTTGATAAAAATAGCAATGCTAATAATAAAAGCGGGCTTTGATCCCCTTTCTCACAAAGTCTAGTATTAGCCGGTGCAGTTATAAGTATATAACTGCAAGTCCCAGTTGTGTCTAACAAGGCCCCCGAATACAGCAATAAGGACTGTAATATTTAGTCACTTTTACATTCGGAAAGATTTGATGTACCGTCAAGCTGCTGATAGGGTTGAAGGATAGGGCTTTTGGGACTTTTTAAATCACAAGCCATATTTTCCCACTTTATCTTTTTCCTCTTCTTTAGATTTTTTATATTTTCTTCTTTTTTTATTGCCAATGTCTTGATGTTCTGTTTGATCCAAAGTCAAACAATCATAACGCTAGAATTCATCCACTCCTTTTTTAAAGAACTGAACTGTTATCATCTTGGAATTGATCAAAATGCTCATGTTAGTCGGTGGCACAGAAACTGTTTTCCTGGAGCCGCCATTTTGTGCTTGCTCTATGTTCACTCGTGTGTGAGTGTGTGTTTAATATTCTGTTCAGCTGTGCCACCGTGAGTCATATGTGAAGCTGGAGGGGTCTGGGCTGATCTGCTCTGGGCCATAACAAAGACTTTCTCTCTTTGTTTAACCACTGATGAAATACGCTTTCACTCTGTCCGAAGAAATACAGATACAGTCCGCTTTGAATAGAACTGAGGATTTGTCCTATGGTCTACAAAGTGCATACAGACACACAGACACACAGACACAGTGAGGGTGTTACAGTACCCAGATGAGCTCAGACACATGCGCATATCTACATATTAATGTGCTCATGCCATATTCCTATGTATGAGAACGTATAAATGTGCTCTTTCAGTCATAAGTCAAACAGCTGTCATGGAACGAATATTATTCTCACCTCATCTGCCAGCTGGTCAGCGCGTTGCTGCATGTCTGACAGCTCATTGCGCATGTCTGCGTCTTCTGCCATGGCTGCTCGATGTGGGGGGTGGAGAGGGTCTCCAACAGGGAAAAGAAGATCCTAATAGGAATCGGGGGTGAACTGGAAGACAGAAAAAACATAGGCTTCTGAGGGCTTATTGCCGGATGCAGCAAAGCTGACATAGTCCTCTGAAGCATTTACATTGGGAAACAGATAACAATGGATGATTTCCTGTTATATCAAAAAGCTAAACTTGTGTGTTATGTTCCCTGTACGTGCGAGTTCTGAGAAGAGTTTGAACAAAAACAATAAAAAAAGTTGTCCTAGTTTTTTAAGTCAATCATGTTGGACCAAATCATATCATTAAACACTTAAAACCAAAACATCTGGTTCTAAGTTGTTTTTTTTCCCTCGAAGTTGTTTGTTTTTTGGGGAGTAAATGATAGACGAAGAGGCAGCTCATGCTTGCATACTAGTGTTTGTACCAGACTGAGAAGGATTAGGAGGATTAGCCACACAGGGACATAAACAACCTGTTAGCTTTGTAGTTTGGAGCCTTTCTCACACATTTCACATCATAAGAGCCAAGTATCGGGCATCTAAAGATGAAAATTTACCAGGAGTTAGCAAAAGAGATGACTTGTCATGTGCGAGAGGTGCTAGCAGTTACTTGTGGATATTTCTCAGAGGCATTCCTGAAAATTAATATGCACGATATACGCAATGACAATAACTGAAGAAGCCATTCAGAGACATGAAAACTCCATAACTACATAAGTATGTTTAATCAAATTAATGTAACAGTTACACTGATACTGAAGAAAATAAACAACAAACAATGTCTCAATTGTCAGGTTGTTCAGCTAATTATTTACAGGTCTCAGAACACGTCCCTGGATGTCAAATTCACAAAGCAATCCGAGACAATACTGTTTTGATTCTTTCAAACCCAACAAAACTACATTCAATTGCTTTACCCTTGTAGACCATCATCAAATTAGACAGTTTGATATATTAATGCTTCAAGGAGCCCTTTGCTCTTGGGCTTTAAAATCAGGACGTGCAATTGCATTTTTTGTATTTTCTTGTTTTCATGAAAATACATTTTGTGATGCCAGTTATCCCTCTGCTGTGGGATGTGATGCACCAGCTGTATCAAATAAGAATGTTATTCAGTGGTTAGTTATTTGGTTGTATTTCTTAAGCATGTGACTTTTAGGCTGAGTCGGGCTGTGGCAGACCACGGGCTGCTGATTGGCCAGGGAGTCACATGACTGGATGAGTCTATTTAAAAAACGTGGCAACAACATAATTTCTTTGATCATTAACAATGAAATGCCTACAACACAAACCAATACATAATCTACATTTTACTCCGTACACCTTTATTGTCTTCTTTTTGTTCTATATTACTGTGTTGCATACAAATGATGCCACGGGCCATTCAGACTGTTTTGCTGGTAGGACCTCACGTGTAATGGAAAACCACCTAAACCAAACTCTTTCAAAACAAGTAGAGCTGAGCTATGCTGAATAGTTACTAATAGTAAAGCCCCAACAGCCAGACGTTTAAAAGCCAGCAGCAATACATAGTGTATCTAGTATCTATATACAGCTTCCTGATGATAAGACAATTTTTTTTGCGGCCTGTTTTAAACCTTTGTTAAAAAATAGATGTGACGGGGAAATGCATAAAATAGTTCTCAATAAATTATGAATATAAAAAAACAACAACAACAAAACAAATGAGTGAAAATAAACAGATTAAATGGGTGAAGGATATCTTGGTATCACAGGGTTGAAGGTTGCTCCAGTAATGAGCAAAAGTCAGCATATCACAGTGGACAGACGGGCTGGAAATGTCTCATTCTAGTGACTGAGCGAGCAGCCTGCTTAATATTCTGTCTCGGAGGTCTTGCTGTTCCCTCGGTGTTAGCTTAACCTACTCATGTGTTCAGAGATGCTCACAAATACCTCTGTGTCACACACTTTTGGGGCCTTTCTTTTTTCTTCCAAGACATTGTAACTAAGTGAAAATTGGGCTTGAATCATTAAGGGCCCATCCATATACCACATGGGTTGAACCTATCAGGTTCAGTCACAAAAATATCCTCAGATCATCATGATTTGAGCTACAAAACAAGCAAATCATCATGAGCTGCATTATGATTTGCTTGCACACCGTTGTCCATGGTAAAATGGACAACACTAAAAATATGCAATGTGTTTATTTCTGCTTGTTCTAGAAACATGAGTAACTAGAATCTAATTACACACGTTTCTTCCTCTCTCCTCTTGCTCTCCTGCATCGCTTCACATCTGTGACGGCCATGTTGGGTTACATAAACCTTAGAGTGGCCAGTGCAATGCAGCTCTCAATGTCTGAGATCGAGTCCAACTCAAGAACAATTCTCAGAGGGAGTGAAGACAGGTCATAATCGCTTGCCTGTCTCATTACATAACTGAATCTAGGGAATTAAGTCTGTCCAGACTACAGTGACCTTTTGCTTTACATCTCAATTAAAACCTGCCCATTTTACATCTCAGCTTCCTTCTGTGCTGACTGCTTCAGCTCCAAAGCAAGTCAACTGAAAAAGTCCTTAAAAAAGAAATGGAAAATACTGGAATAGCTCTCACACATTATTGTTTAAGAGTGGCTTTTTTGTGTTTTAAAAAAACATTTATTGTTTCAGCAGAATTTGAAAAACGCATAGGTATTATTTTTTCAGAATTCTATCCAAATCATCATCCCTGCTGATCCCACTGAGCTTATGTTACATATATTTGTTTCTGAATTGTATTATTCTCAGCAGCTGACTGTTCAATGGCTAAGCCAATAGAAAAGTTACTTTAGAGAGACCATTCCAGGAATAAAGCTGAGGACCTCCAAATCTCAAAGCAGAAGGATATTCGGTCGTCCATGAAATGCCTCTGCTCAGTTGCATATAGTCATTCTGAGATTGTCAACTGATTAAATACTGGCTATCTCATCTGAGAGACTCTTAATGTTTTATTAGTTTTGGCTCTCAGCTGTTTGGGGAGGACAGTATATGTGTGTCACAAGTTATGTGGTCATAAATTGATTGATAGACTGCAGTAATTCAAGATCCATAGGCAATCAAACACAGTACACTTATTAAAATTACTATTAAAATTACTTGAATCTTGTTTACAGATCACGACAGGATTCCTTTCTGAGCATATGAAACGCTTGATCTTCACTAACCAACGCACAGCATATTTCTTTCCATCTGTCATTTATAAGTGATTCTACAGAGACCAACTGAATGCTTCATGTAATTAACATCGAGTTACTTCCTTCATTTCTACCAAACATCTGTCACACAGGTGGCTGAAAACTCCCTTGTTCCATTTGGAAAACACACAGGAACCAACAGCCTTCGCATCCATCAAATATACCAACCTACAAGAAAACAAGTCCACCTTTGTGTGCCTGCTGCTCTCAGTTAACACACAACCTTTATGTCCTTTGCTCCCGAGTTCGTGTCACTTTGTCATCAAGCGTTACAGTCATGCTGACATTTATAGAAGGAGACAGTAAGCGGTCTGACCTTTTCAATTGAAACCAACAGGAAGGACAATAAAGAAGAGGAAATGTGAGACAAAAAATTACTGTCTTGGTTATCAAAATCACACATGCGGGCTGTATCATTGTACACTGCATACACAATCTCATCTGCGTTCTTCCCTGTATGTACAAGCACATGCATACATACCCAGACTTTATTACTTTCATTTTGCCCCAGGGACAGTGGAAGAGTGTGGCTTGCTGATTAGCAGCTTGGTTTAATTTATGGCATCAGAAAAGGTGCAGATAAACAACATATATGACTTGTGCTGCAGTCCTCACACGTCTCAAGGCAAACTGATGAGGCTGGGATGTGCACTGCGCATACATCTTTATTTGCAATAGCCCGCTGAGCAATAAAATAGCTAGCAACGCATTTTGATCACCAGTGAAAAATGTAAGGAACGTCATGAGGATGCCGTTATTTTCATTACACACAGGAGAGCAGGATATTTCACACCCAGTTCAATCACGCTGTACCTGGAAAAGATTGCCAGTCCCCACAAGCTGCTCCCCTTCAGTGCTCCTATCTCATTTCTTTTCTTCCTCTTGCTTTAATAAATAATCTTCTGTTCTCTTGCTTTTTCAAAATCCATTTTCTTTATTTAGTAAGAGAATCGAGCCACTGGGCCACACCCAAACTACCAAATCATCTCAACACACTATATTAGCAGATCTTTGACAGCCTAACAACATGACTATCATGTCTGTCATAAGCTGAAACGTTGCGTCATGTTCCATCAGTGATTGTGTAACACGATGTTGAAAATGATCTGACCATACTGCAGTGCTTTGTTGTCCTTGTGGCAAAATAGAACAAAAGATCTTTGTTGGATGCGTTACGTGTGTGTGTGTTTCTCATCTTGTTATAAATGTTGTAAAGCATGTGTTTGTGCCTCAATGAGTATGAGTGTGGCTGCCATTTTGTTTGCTTTCCAGGTTCAGTTCTAGCTTCTCCATCTGTTTCTCTGCAAAAAAGTATCTGGTTCTATTCAGTTGGTACCTCTTAGATTTTTATTAGGAGAGGAAAATTGGATTTACAAGCCCCGAATATTTGTGAAACATCACTTAATTTTGAATTAAAATTTTTTTTTTTTTAATTTTCTGCACTACTGTGCAAATGCAAGTCAACATAATTTGAATTTAGATGAACTATGTGTCCATCGGTAATAATATATTTTAGTAAGTCATCCTTATCAGGCCTGGTCATATCAAACTAAATAACTTGGTACAGCTGCATAGTTAAAGCAGGGAGGTCAATGTGAATTACCCTTTCTAATAAATCTTTTTAAAAAGAAAAGCTTAGATTTCAAAGGCTCTTCACTTGAAACTAATCCTACTGAAGAATCTAGTGACAAAAGCATCCCATTCCTAATGCAGAAAAAATTACAACAACCCTAACTAGCTATGTTTGGTAAGAGGTATTTTTTGTTAGAATACATAATGCTATGACAGTAAGACAGCAACAAGAGTCAACATTACCCAAAAGACCAAGTGTCACTACGGATGGAGTGTTATCTTTAATGAGAAGCGA